GGCCTGTCACCTGTTCCAGCACTCAGTCAGGTACTTGGATCCAGATCTGCTAGATAGGCCCCCAGCCATAGCTTTTGTGTGGTATGGCGTGTGGTGGTCAGTGATGCTCTGTGCTAACAAGCCCATCTCAGGACTCCCATGTGGGCTGATGAATCAGTCTGATCCATACAGATCTTCCAATCTCTCCCCTCCATACCACCAGGCCTCAGTCCCCTCACTTACCACCAGTGCAGTGGCCCTGTTGTTAGGTGTCGCTCAGGATTCATTCCTCACTCATACATATGGTTTCCATATCCATGGATGTCCCTGGGCAATATTTTGTCACCTCCAAATCCCCAGAGCTCATCGGCAGACGGCCAGTGGGTAAAGCCTCACACCCGATGGGCGCACTGGCCGCCCATTGAACAAAGATGGTGCCGGCTGCTTAAAAAAGCAGCCGAGAGGGGTGTGGGCTTCTTCCTCCACTCATCAGCCAAGATTGGCTGATGAAGCAGAGTTCCACTTGGCGTGCCCAACCTGTGGAGCAAAGATGGTGCCGGCTGCTTAAAAAGCAGCTAGTGGAGGGGGTGATGGACTTCTTCCTCCGTTCATTAGCCAGGATTGGCCAATGAAGCTGAGTTCCACTCCGCGTGCCCAACCCCTATTTTTTTAAAGATATATTGGGGGTGGCGGACAGCAGCACTCCAACAGACAGGGTCTGGGAGTGTGTGGCCATGAGTGTGCATGGGCCCTGAGTAGGTAGGCAGGGCCCCAGACTGGCACAGCACACTGCCAGAGAACCAGGCACAGGGGCCTGTGGATTGCTCACGGAAGTGTGTCTGGAGATGTATAGGAGGGAGAATATGACAGGGAGAGAGTGAGTTCTGGGGGACATCTACCAACCTGGCCATCCTCACCCGATGCCAACACCTTCACCTTGTATTTCCCATTCCCAACCTCCAGAACCGTGAGAAAACAATCTGTTTTCTGTTGTCCAGCCTCAGGTATTGATACAGTGGTACAGAAAACAGATTAAGGCAGCTGTCCAGCATGGATGGAGACCCTTAAATGCCAGAGAACTTGCATTTAACTGATCTAACTATGTAGACAATATTATTCCACATGGGCACACAGATGTGCATTCAAATCAAACCATCCTCCACCTGCTTTGTTTTGTAGGATGGCTTTTTAAACACAGCATGGGCTTTCTGTTTTTTCCTTTACTAACTTAAAGAAGGCAAGCTCAGCAGAGAGTGTTCACACAGCCCACAGGAAAATCTCGGGCAGACCAGGTAACTGTAAAGCTCAGAGAGGAGGTATTAAATCTAATCAGTCCCCCCAGTATAGCTAAAGACACACTGTGCAACACACAACATCCACCCAGGGTGTACTCCCACACTAATGAATGGGGTCTACACTGTGAGGGTGTTTATGAATACTTGTTGCTGAAAAGCAACAAGGACAGAAAGATACTTTTAAAAAAGGGGTTGACACAATGGTCTTGTGACTAAATCCTCTCCTTGCATGTGCCATGATGTCATATGGGTACCTGTTAAGTGTCCCTGCTGCTCCACTTCCCATCCAGCGCCCTTCTTGTGGACTGGGAAGGCAGTAGGGGATGACCCAAAGCCTTCACGACTCCATAACCATGTGAGAATCCTCAAAGAAGTTCCTGGCTCCTGGTTTCAGATCAGCTTAGCTTTGGCCATTGTGGCCATTTGAGGAATGAATCAAGAGGACAGAAGATCTCTCCATATCTCCTTTCCTCTGTAAATCTGTTTTTCCAATAAAAATAAATAAATCTTAAATATATATATAAGATTTATTTTATAAGATATCTATATCTATCTATCTATCTATCTATCTATCTATCTATCTATCTATATAATTTAAGTGAAGGTGAAAAGGTTTAGTTTGGCTGAGTCACTAAGTGGCCCAACATGTGAAATAAGGATTCCACACTCTAGCCAATTCTCCTTGTGAGATTCTTGGAAGACAAAAAAGGCACACATACATTACTTCTTTCACGATCATAACAAATTCTGACTTCTACTACATATTCAGTCACCAGAAGTACACCTAAAAAACCCTAAATATTAGTGATTTGCATCTATTTAATAGATATTATTAAACTCATATCATGTAGCACAGCCTGCAAAAAGGCAGATGGGTATTCAATGAATGCTTACTAAGTGGTTATAAACTACATTCAATTAAAGAACCTTAAATTTAGTTTCTTGGGAAGTGCACAGCTCTCCTAACTTCCAACTCCCCCTCTGACAGCAAGGGTTCATCATTTGAAATTCCCTCGACCACTCAAAGGAATCATCTTGGCATGAGACAGAGTTTGCACCATCATTTCATCAAAATCTGCCCCCACCAAGGTGTTAGGTGACTCTGGTTTATTTGCCACTCACTTTTTTCAGGTAAACTGCTGAATCAGTGTGTGACATATGCCAATGGAGTGAGAAGGTATCATCAGTAACTCCAAAGGGGAGAAGTGTCAAGAATGAAAAATTCGTAAGTCCTTTCATGTCAACATTTTATTTAAACCAATAACAAGCACCATGCTTAACAGAAGACTGTCCAAAATAAACATGCAATATGAACTAGCAGACTGAAACCACAGCTTAAGAAGTTGTGCCAGTTGTTGGTTTTGTTAAACAATGACAGAAAACTGTTGAAATTCACAAGACTAAACCATTTATGTTTCAAGCCTCCTGGATGAGATTATGTTGGACCATGTAAATAGATGGGAACTGGCCTCCCATGTCAGTGGCCTCCATACTCAAGTAAGCATATGTGTACCAATCATATTCCAAAAAGCAGGAAAACACGGTTTGTACCACAAGCTTAACGGAGTTGATTGAAACATCACAGGAATATGATCACTAATTTGAAATGTCAAATGATATAACAAACAAATTTCTCAAGAGTATTCAACTTGGAACCAACCGTTTTAAGTGGCATAGAAGATTATTTACATTCTTGCATAAATACAAAATTAGATTTGTCCTGAAATGTTTGAAACACTTCTTCATATAAACTGTAAAGGCTCAAACTTTATAGATTCCAGTATTATGTCTAATGGACACAAAGGGAAAGCTACCATACTAGGAATACTTGAACTGACAGAACACAAGCTACCCTCTACTCCCAACAAATACCAGCATTGAAATGCTTATGAAAATATTATTCATCACTAATTCACATACAGATTGACATTACTTGGGTTTTAAAAGTAGTCCAGACATTCTTAAAAGTACACCTTCCTTAATATCTATAGTGTGGGGCAAAAACAGCCAACTTTAATTTGGCAATAAACTCCCCTTCCTGGGAACTTTCAAAGTGTCAGACCAAAGTACAGTTTATGGCTACGTTTGACTCCTGAAAATAGGAGATTAAAAGAGAAGGAAAAGTGCTGACAGACTTTTTTACCACATGGATTATTTAATGATGACAATAAAAAAAAATTTAGGAACACCCTCTTAAACAAGAGTATGTTTAATTGCACTAGGCATTTAGTGACCTCTTTAGAAAGAGACAATTCAAACATCTATTATTTTAGAAATCAAGTAAACAAAACAGTCAACCAACTTTTTTCCTAACATAGTTGCTTCAAAACCGGAACAAAGTGATTTCTATTCAAAACTCAGACATTTTGGAATTTCAGCATAGTGACCTGAGAACAGTTTTCTTCGTATGTCATTTATGTTGCCACAAAAACACATGCTAAAATGCAGACCGGTATTATTTGTTGATTCTATCTTGACATTAGATGCTATGCAGAACTTATGCAAGGCCAACAATCTCAACATTAATGCTGACTTTAAGGATCATGATGGAGGTTCCCAGGGAAAAGGGCCCTGCACAGAAGGAAAGATTAAGATTTAAGGCTGAGTGGTAATGGTCATACCAGAAAAATAGGGAATGTAAAAACTGGAATTATGAAATCTAGCTGGAGTTACTTACTCTCTGAGGGAATGCGGAAAAAGATAAGAAATTGGAAATAAACTTGAAAATGTAAAATATACTTAAGATACAAGGAAAGATTCTACAAATGTTTGAGAACATGTTGGAGCACAGGATTTCTAACTCTCCCTACAGCTGGAATAGTTATCCCCTAACCTCTAACTGCTGTCTTGCAACATACATGTTATTGATGAGAAGTCAGACAAACTTAAAAAAAGAATTTTTATCACAACTCTCTGCTCCTATTGCACAACAATAGAGTAAGAGTTCTGTGCATGGTAGTCGGTGCCCCCTGACATCATGGAGGAATTCCAAATAGGAAAAAACATTAAAAACAAAACAGTAAGACCAATTAAGGAACCTCATTTTTAAAACACATTTTTGCAGCACAAGTTTCTCTTACTAATGTGAATCACGTGAAACAGAAACTCATTTCCTTCATTCAAAAAGATTAAACGCGTTCACTACTCACTTGGATTACATTTGCATTTATGTAGAATGATAAACTAACAATTTTCCAACATCAAAATACCTGTTTAAAAATTTCTTCAACTTCCTGGGTTAGTTTTCTCTCTCAGAATTGGAATGCAGAATCCTTCCTATTCATTTGCCACACAAATACCTACTGTAGCACTTCCTCATCTCCAACTGACTTCCGAATGCTTCCAGACTCCCAGATTAGGGAAGCCAAACTGTGGGAAAGAGAAGATGCTCTGTTCTATTCTGCCAGCATTCCCACCATCGTTACCACTTTACTAAAGTTGACACAAAAACCTCGAAAGTGAAATGCAAAGAACTTATGAATGGGAAATATACCAACATAAGAATGCCTTGGCTAGTTCTGAAATGACTAAGATATTCTTAATATAAAAATTCACTTACGAAAAATGGTTAGTCTATAGAGCTCTGGACCTTGTATCAAGTCAGCATTGAACAATTACATACGTGTTGTTTTGTAAAGTGTGCTATACATTATAACCCTTGTGTATACCAAGGATGCCGTCATCTAACAAAACTAGGCTGGCTAACTACTCATGCATCCGGTTTAGAGTATCTTCTGACATTCAGGATATAAGATGTGTTTTTTATTGATGTATTAATAACATTATTCACTATGGCCAATGTTTTAAGACAAGTATTTTTTCTTATGGCACAAAACTAATCACAAATATACCCCCAAATCAAAATTCTCAACTGCCATTATTCACTAATGCAAGCAAATAGTTGGACTTTTAAAAATATGAAGTTAGTTTTATTACAAATTTTAGATATACACATTAGAAAATTAGTTTCACTTGGACCCTTTAAAAAAGTATTAATTTCAGCAAATTTGGAATACTGGCAGTGAAAAATTCTTACACTAACTTCAAAGCTAACAAATCAAAGGCACAATATTAACACATTTAAAATCATTAGTGTTCACAGGACATTAAGAGATGCTTTGTAAGTAAAGTGTTATAAACCTAGACTTGAAGCTATCTAGAGATAACATAATCAGGAATGAAGCCCTTGATTAGCACACCCCACCAGTTGCTAAGTAAGACTAAGATCTAATTTGCACAAGAAAACCTAATTTTATCACAAAATCTAATTACTGATTACTGAATGACTGATAAACACAGTTCCTGGATTTAAGTAAAAAGAGCAGAAAACCAAAGGAGGTATGGAATTGAGAAAAAATGTCCTTGTAACACAGATTACGCTACAGTAAATTACTATTCGTGGCTCAAAATTTGGGTCATTCAAGTCTTTTACTCCAAATTAACTGAAATAATTTGAAAAGTGATAATATGCTATTTTCATTTATCTGTCAACTGCTAATTTCCAGTATTTATCAAAAGGAGGCAACTGTTGTCTATTACAATCTAATACCCACTTTGCAATGGTATCTGTAAATTGCAACAAATTCTGAACCATAGGTTATTGAAATTAACCACAAGAGTGCAAAAAGTCCCTGGAGGAAAGGAGTCCACCTAACAATTACATATATAAGGAAACATTTTACAAAGTTTCATTACTATGAAGATGATTCCCTCTTTTTCAAATTTTGCACAAATAAAGAAATTTTCTTTACTGCAGGAAACATACTGTAAGTAACAGTGCATTTTTAGGCATAAATAAGTATTTATGTCTGGTTCCAGTATGGTCAGGTAAATACATAAATACTTAGAACATATAAGTTCACATTAGTGGAAAAATCCCAGCTTCTCACGTAACCACTCTTCAGTTAGGTCTTCAGTATTTCTTATTTCAAACACCTTAAGAAAAAAAAAATGTAAGTCATACTCTGATACTCTCCAACAACAAACACATTATATAGTGAGTATTAAATATCAAATTCAACTTCCTTTCATATTGGTCATGATTTTCCCTGTGTAATAAATTTGGTAAACCTTTTAGAAAGTACATTGTTTAAATGCGAAGTACTCAGTTACCAAAGCACAATAATCATGGCATAAAAAACAAATTCTCTTAAAAGCACAGAACTACAAATATCAAAAAAGAGTACCTGTGCAAATCTTGCCACTAGATAAGATACCCCAGGTACACACAACTAAAATTAACCTAGTTAAGAGTTAGAGAAACAGAACTAAGTCTACAGTCTGAACATGCAATGTTAATGCCAGCAGTGGATGGTTTTGGTAAGGATGGACTGGAGGGCCACAGCCATATGCCCAGCAAGACTCTGGATTAACACAAGTCCAAAAGGTTTAACAGCTACACGCGGAGAGGTCATGTACTATAACAGATGATACGAGTGAAGACCAGATCTGAGCTTGAAACCTTGCTCTGCAAGGTAGCCCTGGGAAGGTCACCCTCTGAACCAGCTTTCCTGTTCAAAGTATGGGAATACCCAGGGTGCTTAATCATCAACTCAGAGACTGTTAAAGTGTCCTCAGCCTCATCCAGGGGTACAGAACCTTTTTTTTTCTGCCAAAGGCCATTTGGATATTGGTAACATCATTCCAAGGCCATATGGAATTACTAACATAAAAATTAGCCTTCTACAGATTTACTGAATTTTAAGTCTTGCCTGCAGTGACCTTGAAGGACCAAACCAAATGTCCATAGGATTGCAGTAAGAATTCAATTGGTTCATTTATAAAAATGACTTGTAATATTTCAACTCTAGCCCTTCAATGTCTCCCAAGGATTCAAACAGATCTGACACTCCTTAATCTCCCCCAACTTTTAGAGTAATTCCACAGAGTGCTCCTGTGACACAAATGAGAAAAAAGCGTTGGGCCCAGCGGCGTGGTGTAATGGCTAAAAGTCCTCGCCTTGAACGCGCCCGGGATCCCATATGGGCGCCAGATCTAACCCCAGCAGCTCCACTTCCCATCCAGCTCCCTGCTTGTGGCCTGGGAAAGCAGTCGAGGACGGCCCAAAGCTTTGGGAAACTGCACCCGTGTGGGAGACCTGGAATGAAGTTCCTGGATCCCAGCTTCAGATTGGCGCAGCACCGGCCGTTGCGGCTCACTTGGGGAGTGAATCATCAGACGGAAGATCTTCCTCTCTGTCTCTCCTCCTCTATATATATCTGACTTTGTAATAAAAATAAATAAATCTTAAAAAAAAAAAAAAAAAGAAAAAAGCGTGTTCAAAAATTGGTGGTACCAATGACAATTAATAGGCTAGAGCAGGGGTAGGAAATGTCCAACATGTAGGCCATGCAAGGCTTGTAAAATTATCATGCTCTGAATTCTTCACAATTCTACCACTCTTGAGCAATTTTAGTGAGCAGTACAATGCCGGAGTCCAGCACAGAACATGGTTCATTTCAGACTATGGAAAATGTCACTCACAGCTTCAAAGCTGGCCTTTATCTGTCAACACTTATATAAAGAACTCTTGGGGACAGCAATTTCACATGTGGCTGGTTGCTGTCTATGGGTGCCAGTTCATGTCCTGGCTTTCTAATTCTAACACAGTTCCCTTACTAGTGGCCTGGGAAAAGCAGAAAATAGCCTAAGTGCTTCGGACCCTGTACCCACATGGAAGACCCCAAAGAAGCTCTTGACTTGAGCATGACCCAGTCCCAGCCTTGGAGCTTTCTGAAGAGTGAACCAGTGGATGGAAGGTCAGTTGGTTGCTTGGCAGTTTTCCTTCTCTACTTGGGTCTCTCTCTGTGTAACTCAGACTTTGAAATTAAAGATTAAAAACAAAGAAACCTTCAATAGATTAAACTGTTACAGTAACATCTTCATAGCTGTCTACATTTTTCATGTGATTTTTAAAAATTTATTTACCACTTAAAAACAACATACTTCGGTTCAAATAATTCTATAATTCTATTTCCAACTGATTTACTGTTTTGACTAAATAACTTGCACCTGCATGGAAAACACTACTCTTCAGACTGTTTTAACTATTACTCTACACTGTAAAGGAAAATATTGTCTCAACAAGCGAGTCAAATGTAAACAGCACCTTGGTGAGTTCAGCTGTTTGGACTAGCTTATTCTTACTCCCAGCATACATCATCTGTTGTTCAGGCTTACATCCTGGAAAGGAAAGATTGGCGGAGAAGTGAGGCACAGATTTGGAATGTGAGGGGTGCTCATTATGTTTATTTTTAAAACAGCACGTTTAGTATTTCCTTTGCTTATAATTTGGTCTAAACATATACGAGCTGTATTTTGAGTCTATACTGCAGATGCGTGCACAAAGAGACATTAATTCAAGTATAAATAAATAAGTTTAAACATCAGCAAATGACTCTAGAATTCCAAGATCACTTTTTAAAAAAAAATATTTATTTATTTTTTTAATTGGAAAGTCAGATATCAGAGGAGGAGAGACAGTGAGGAAGATCTCCTGTCCACTGAGTCACTCCCCCAAGTGGCTGCAATGGCACTTGCGGGGTAAGAGCATGGTAGGAGACCCAGAAGAGACTCCTGGCTCCTGACTTCGGCTCTACACAGCTCTAGTCACTGGGGCTGCTTGGGGAGTGACTCATCAGACAGAAGATCTTCCTCTCTGTTTCTCTTCCTCTCTGTATATCTCACCTTCCAATAAAAATAAAATAAATCTTAACAACACCACAACAAAAAAACCTTTTAGGACTTTGTTAGTTTTCTAATGTTTTTACTATTAAATTGACAAATAATAATTACAGTATACACTCTTTATTCTGATACTAAATATCAAGATCAATTTTATGCATGCTGAAAATATATAAGGTTTTGGGATGACAGCAGGCCAGTGGAACAAGGAGATCTCTGAAAAAAAATTATTTTGCTCCCAAATGAAATTCAAAATATATTGAAGTACACTGTGAAGTGTGAGCAAACGGTAAAAATAACATTTAGAGCAGAGTTCCAAGAGGAGTGTTTCCTGCTGGCTTCAACACTGGTGGCAGCAGTTCTGGTACCTGGTTCCTTAAACACCAGTACCCTATCTTAACACCCAATAGAAGCCATCCTGGGATCACTCTGAATAGTACCAGCACTTCACTGGTAACCATGATTTAAAAGATAAACATGATTTATACAGAGATCACACACTTACAAACAATGTTAAAAAATTTCCTGGGTCCAGTGCCTAGCAGCTAAAGGCCTCGCCTTGCACACACCAGGATCCCATATGGGCACCGGTTCTAATCCCGGCAGCCCTGCTTCCCATCCAGCTCCCTGCTTGCGGCCTGGGAAAGCAGTCAAGGACGGGCCAAAGCCTTGGGACCCTGCACCCATATGGGAGACCCGGAAGAGCTCCTGGCTTTGGATCGGCTCAGCTTTGGCCATTGTGGCAACCTGGAGAATGAATCAGTGGATGGAAGATCTTCCTCTCTGTCTCTCCTCCTCTCTGTATATCTGCCTTTCCAGTAAAAATAAGTAAAATATGAAAAAACATTTCAAATATATAAAAATATCATTGCATTTCAAAATCCTTACAGTTTAAGTGTGGTTAGGACAAATAATTATACTCATCGGATTTTACCTTAAAAAAATAAACAGCTTCCAAGAGATGATGCTATATAAAAGCTTCCTTCCAGGGTTATATGCAAGTGCATGTGAACATATACTAAATTAAGGTATTTAGCACTTTTTAATCTTTAAAATCATCATAAATTTGCCTGCTATAAAGAAAGCTTAGAGCAGAACCAATGAATATTTTAATATGATTGAAAGAAATGCACTTACCAACAGGACTGGAGAAAATAAAGCACAGAGGATATGAAACTCTTCCATCATCATGCTGATATTTATAACTATACACAATGAAGGTTTTTCTCAAGTTAAAGAAACTAACGTCACTGCTCTACGAAAAGTGCTTACCAGTACCTTGGGGAACACCAAATGGTAAGATTTTATTCATTTAGGGCACATTTTATTATGTTCCCACAAAATTACAAATGAGCTCCAAAAGTAAGTAATGGAATCATAACATCTCTCCACAAAAAGTGTATTATAGAATGGATTTAGTAGGAATTTTTCCTTTCTCAATTTTTATTAAACACAAAATAAATAGAATGGTTTGGAAAAATGACACATCAACTCTTAGTTCACTAACATGTACATCAATAATCATTTGGTTGTGATCATGACAGAGGTTACCTTGTAAAATATGTTTTTAAAGGTTTAACAAATGAGTTCACAAACAAAAATCTGACCAGTGGGGCCGGGGCAAAAACATGTTTTTAGAGCACGAAGAAAAGGATATCGAGGTTGTCGTTCGGGCAGTTCGTCTTTAAGTTCGTCCGGCGAGATGCCCTGGCACAGTGGAGAACAGTAACCTGGGAGCACTCTCCCACCACACACCCACACCACTAACAGAAATCCCCTGCCACATGCAACACAGGAAATGGGATCTGACTAAACTGCTCATAAACTGGGATCACTGAACTCTCCGTTCACTCCAAGCCCTTTCTGCTGGCCTTCATTTGAGCTGCAGGGATGGGGCTGAGGGCACAGTCCTGCCTGCTCACGTCCCAACTGCCAGGAGACACTGGGCGACAGAAGCCAATACCTCAGAGGAAACCACAACATCCGACTTCAAGAGAAGTTCATTTATGTTTGCTCTAAGTAGCTACCTAATTTGACAAACCAAATGCTCCAGTTGTGGGGTTTTCGTTTTCAATGACTATCCAAGCAATTTAGAAGTAAGTTGTAAAACTGACTCACTTTGTGCTGGGCAGACAGCCCTAACTCCTACCACTGAATACACCAGGTTTTATAGATGCTTTAAAGTAGTTAAATCAGCAAGACAAGACATAATACAATAACTAGTACATGTTTCTCATACACAATAAACACATATTTAAAGGAAGTTCAAAACTGATCTGAAAAAGTCAAGATAGCAGCATTTGAGCAATAATTGCTTAACTATAAAATTTCATTTGTTTCATTGAACAAACCTCAAGTTCTTCATCCAGTACCACCAGGCGTTTATCCTTGTCAATCTTCACTAAAACAAACAAACAAACAAATAAGTAAACATGAGTATTCTGTTTCAAATGTGACCCTGATCTGCAGCACCCACAGTTCTGTCCTTTTCTGGACCATCTAAAATAAAATTATCAAAGAAACGCATGCATAAAACTCATTTACAGTTTCAGTTAATGTCCAATTCGCTAACTTTGTTTTCCATTTAAAAGCTTTTACACACATTCCTAGCACATGGTTCGCTTACTCAGCACTTCATATTATCATCTCACATTACTATTCATGTGAAGCCTGTTATAACTCAGGTGCCATTTCCCACCTGAAACAGTGGTTGCAGCTGAGACTGGTCTACATGCAACGTGCCTAAAATGTCCAGAGATAAATGGACTAGTGGTGAGGATGGAGAAACTTCCGAGATGTCTAGTGTGTCCAGTGTCAAGATTTCATGGCATAGGACTACTATCACTGCTGGGAAGGCAATTCCCAGAATTCTCTGCATATTCAGAAAAACAGACACTTAAAAGTGCTCTCCATGTGACAGCGAACAGAGTTCAGGTTTAACACTGGAATGCGGCCAAGTCATTCTGAACACCACGGAGTGCCCAACCAATTCACTCAAGTTACTAACCAATTCACTCTCATTTGAGGATGAATAACCAGGCTATTTTAGATCTCTAAGAGGGCAGCAGTGGAAACGTATTTAAATATTTCCTATGTGACCAAGAAGCATGCCCTCTCCAGGGCTGGGGGCAGGACCATGGCGAGGAGGCACCTGACCCTTGTTTTGTGACCTCAGAACTGGAGGCAACGTCATTCTCTAAAGGTTCACCTTATTCAGTATAGCTAAGGAAACAAACAAACAAACAAACAAAAAAAACGAACACCATGCATCCGAGACAATCACTTTTAGCTTACTTATAATGGCGGCATTGTTTGTTTCTTTGCGAAAACGAAACTTTCTCAGCTTTTCCACTAAATCTTCAGCAACGTCACAGACCACCAAAGACTCACTCTATAAGAGAAAAGTGGGATGCCATGACTTCAATTAGATTAAGTTATAAAACCTTGAATTTTTAAAAAAAGATCTGATATCTCTAAAAAGTTAGTTATGTGAAAGCATTCAAGTAAAACACATGAACATTTGAAAGTTTGTAAATTTGACAATCTTTGAGCTATACTGTTTAATCATAAACTTTTATTCAGCTAATCAGTAAAGTATACTTAGCTTTTTCTTTCTGTGAAAAATGTCTCAAAAACCAGACCTAAAATTCTGTAACTGTATCAAAATTGGAAAGGATGGGAAGAATGTGAAAAATGTCAAGGAGCATGATGTGGAGTTCAATAAGGCAAGTGGAACATGTCACACTGTGCAAGAAGAATGGAAAAACTCTTACTGTTCTTGCTTAGAGCCAGTAAGTCCTGGATCATTTTTAGATCTCACAATTATGGATGGGAAAAAATAACAGAAGCATAAAAACCTGCCTATAACATTAAAGAGTAAAATTAATTAATTAGATGACTATGGTTATACCACCAGAACTATTAAGAAACTAAAGGAACAAAACCAGATTAAGTTAACATGAACAGACGTGCTAAAAGAATCTTTTAGAAGTTACAAAGAAATACTAGAGAATTTTCCCCAGAAATCTGGCAAGGGAATGATCCAGGGTAATCTTCCAGAGCAGAGGTCTGGCAAAGCACCGGAGCAGCCACTGCGACGCCTACACCCATCTAAACTGCCTGGGTTTGCATTCATTCTGGATTTTGGCTTCCTGCCTAGGTACACCCTGGGAGGCAGCAGGTAACGGCTCCAGCTTTGGGATCCTGCTACCCAGGTGGGAGGCCCAGATTGAGGTCCTGGTTCCTGCCTTCTGCTTGACCCAGTTGAGCCTACTGCAAACATCTGGGGAGATAATCAGCAAATGCGAAATCTCTACCTCTCACTCTCTGCCTTTCTAATAGACAGTTTGACAGATAATTTTGTAAAAAAAAAAAATAATAATAGTAATCTCTTTTTATAGTATAATGTATGACTACTAACAAAAGAATAGAAATACTTTTTAGAGGAGTGTTGTCGGGGGTGCGTTTGAATCCCAGCTTCTCTACTTCACTCGGAATCCTTAAGGTGCCTGGGAAACCAGGAGAAAATGGCTGAAGTCAACCCCTGGCTCCCGGCATAGGACCAGCTCAGCTCCGATTGTTGGGGAGGGTTGGGAAGTGAATCAATGGACGACAGACGGATCTCTCTCTCTCTCTGTAACTCTTCCAAATAAATAAACAAAGACTTTTAATATGCGAAACTCAAAACCACACACAGAAGTAGAGAGTAGTACAGTGAGAATCACTCAGTTTCAACTATTCTCAACATGAAGTCAATCTTAGATCATCAACACCGGTCCCAAAGGCCAGAAGTGATTTCACTTGTCAGTATTTTAGCATATTGCTAAAGACAGAATGTGCCATTAAAAACACATAAGGGGCCTGGCGCAGTGGTTAAGGTCCTCGCCTTCCATGCCCGGGATCCCATATGGGCGCCGGTTCTAATCCCGGCAGCCCCGCTTCCCATCTAGCTCCATGCTTGTGGCCCGGGAAAGCAGTCGAGGACGGCCCAGAGCTTTGGGAACCTGCACCCGCGTGGGAGACCCAGAAGTAGTTCCTGGATCCTGGCTTTGGATTGGCTCAGCTCCAGCCATTGTGGTCACTTGGAGAGCGAATCATCAGACGGAAGATCTTCCTCTCTGTCTCTCCTCTCTGTATATCCGCCTTTCCAATAAAAATAAAGTAAATCTTTAAACAAAAACAAACAAACAAAAAACCACATAAGACAGTAGAGTTACTCCACCTTAAAGGTCGGGACAATAATTTCATTTTCAAATATTCAAGTAGTATTCAAATTTCCCCTATCATTTTTACAGCTGTTTTAATTGACTCAAGTTCCAAACAACACCCACCCACTCTGATCTCTTCACAGAAGGGTGTGACTTCCCCCTGCAGGAAAACTAGAACTCTGAGACCAATGTTAAATGCATGCTTCATTAAGACTCAGAAGCATTAGATTTACAACTGCAGGTTAGAATAAAATTTTTATAAGGAACAGCTTAAAAAGATTTATCTATTTTTATTGGAAAGGCAGATTTACAGAGTGAAGGAGATACAGTGAGAAAGATCTTCTGTCTGCTGGTTCACTCTGCAAATGGCCTCAATGGCCAGAGCTCAGCCAATTGGAAGCCAGGAGCCAGAAGCTTCTTACAGGTCTTCCACATGAGTGCAGGGTCCCATGGCCTTGGCCCGTCCTCGACTGTTCTCCCAGGCCACAAGCAGAGAGCTAGATGGGAAGTGGAGTAGCCAGTACATGAATCAGTGCCCATAGCGGATGCTGGCGTCTAAGAGGTGAGGGTTAAGCCAACAAAGCCATTGTACCAGCCCCAGAATAAAAATTTAGTAAAAAGCTTCCTTTTTGATCCAATATTGGATGAGATACACGATAAAACAGAAAAACCCATCAATTTTAAATTGCCTTTCAAATTAAGAACACTGGTATCATGTGAGGTATAATAAGACCATAAAATGCACTATTACACAATCAAAAAGTATACACAATTAGTAAGTACCATACAATAAATAATATCCCTATAGAGCTTATATTTTTAGCTCTCTTTACAGATGTCAAGTCATATGGAATCTTCCTGAAGCTAAGATTTAATAGTAGTTCATTTTTTTCCCCCATCTTCCAATAAAGACATTAAAGTCAGAAAATCAGAATTTCCGTTCTCTTTTCAATGAAAGGCAGAATCCACTTGTGAAACATATGTAATTTAGTTTTTTGGTTAGGCAAAGATCAATTTGTCATGAAAGTTTTATCATCCAACTGTGATACCCAGAGCTGTTGGTGTGAAAGCTTGACATTCTGGGAACGGAAACCAAGTGCAGGGGCGGGCATTGTGGTGTGCCAGACTGTCACCCCAGCACTCCATACTGCAGCATTAGTTAGCTGCTCCCCTCTGACCCAGCTCCCCACTGACACCTCTGGGAAGGTGGCAGAAGATGGCCTAAGTCCTTGTGTACCCACTACCCTCAAGGGAGACCAAAATGGAGCTCCGGACTCCAGGCTTTGGCCTTATCCAGATTGGCTGTTGCAGTCATTCGAGAAGGAACAAGCAGATGGAAGAGCTTTAAGATCTCTAGCCTTCCTCCTCTTTTCAAATAAATAAATGGATCTTAAAAGGAACAAAAATCAAATGAAAAACATGTTGTGCTTTAATTTGCATAGTTTATTTTTGTTTTTACCCCTCCAACACCATTTGAAAGGCCCTCAAACTGCTCAGCCAACTCAAACTGCTTAGTCAGATGCCTTCAGAGTAAGGACAGAATTTGGCAAAGTAGTTACGATGCTGCTAGGGCCAGGTCCTGCTCTGGCTCTGTGGACTGAACTGCTACTCACACAGCATGCCACAGCAGAACATCGGTTCAAGTCCTATTTATTTTTACTTGAAAGGCAGAGTTATGGAGAAAGAGAGAGATGTTCCATTTGTTGAGTCACACCCCAAATGGCCATAAGAGACAGAACTGAACTGACTGGAAGTCAGGTGCTTGTTCTGAGTGTCCTATATGGATGCCCAAGCACTCGGGTCAAACTCCACTGCTTTTCCCAGGGCATCAGGACAGTTGAATTAAAAGTGGAGCAGCTGGGACTAGAACTAGTTGACCTATGAGATGTCAGAGCTGTGGGTAAAGGCTTAACATGTGTTGCCATGGTACTGGTTCGAATCCTACTTCTTATGCTATTTTTTTTTTTAAAGTCAAGTATACAGAAAGGAGGAGAGACAGAGAGGAAGATCTTCCATCTGATGATTCACTCCCCAAGCGCCTCAAAGGCCGGAGCTGAGCTGATCTAAAGACAGGATCCCGGAGCTTCTTCCGGATATCCCACACAGGTGCAGGGTCCCAACATTTGGGCAGTCCCTGACTGCTTTCCCAGGACACAAGCAGGGAGGTGATAGGAAGTGGAGCCGTCCGGATTAGAAGTGGCACCCATATTGGATCCTGCTGTATGTAAGGCGAGGGCTTTAGCTGCTAGGCTACCACGCCAGGCTGCTGTTTTTTTTTTTTTTTTTTTTTGACGATTGATTTATTTTCATTGGAAAAGGAGATATATAGAAAAGAGAGAATAATCTTCCATTTGCTGGTTCACTCCACAAATGGCCATAATACCCAGAGCAGAGCCAATCCGAAGCCAGGAGCCAGGAGCTTCTTCTGGATCTCCCACGCGGGTGCAGGGTCCCAAGGCTTTTGGCCATCTTGTGCTACTTTTTCAGGCCACAAGCAGGGAGCAGGATGGGAAGTGGAGCAGCTGGGATACAAACTGGCACCCAAATGACATGCCAGGACTTGGACGTAGAGGATTAGCCAGTGAGTAGTTGTGCTTGCCCCTCCCTACTGGTGTTCCTCACTAATGCTAATGCTAAGTTATCTGGGAGCAGTTCAAGGCTCCTAGCTGTGCTTGGCTCACCCCTGGCAGCTGCAACTATTTGGGGACTGAACCAGCAACTGGAAACAGATGATAGCTCAAGTACATGAAAACTGGGCCAGAGTTCCTAGCTCCTGGCCCTGGCCTGGCTCAGCCATGTCTAATGTGGGAAGTTAAGGAATAAACCAGCAGATGGAGTATTTTCTCTACCTCTGCCTTTCAAATAAAATTTAAAAATTTTTAAATTATTTAAACACCAAATCTACTAGGGGTGCAGGCCTTTCAGCTAGGCCTGTCCATGTCCATATTGGGGTGCCTAGGTTCAACTTTCATCTCGCACAGCCAGCTACCAGCCAATGCAGAGCCTGGGAGGCAGCAGCGATGACCGAAGTGATGGGGTTCCTTCCACACACATGGAGAAACTCGACTGAATTTCCCACTCGCAGGTTCCAGCCTGGCAAGGGACTCTGGCAGGCTTTCAACAGGGAGCTTTCTCTGCCTCTCAAAAAAAAAAATAAAAGCATAATCCTATAAAAACTGCTGTCGGGAGCTGGTTTTTTGAATACTGAGTTAAACCACCACCTACAAGGCCACCCTTCCATATGGATGCCAATTCAAGTGGTGGCTGCTCCACTTCTGATCTAAATCCCTGCTGACACACACTGGGAAAGCAACGGAAAGATGGCTAAAGAATTTGGGGTCCTGACACACACATCAAAAACCAGGTTAGAGTTCCAAGTTCCCAGCTTTGCTATTTGGGAAATGATCGCTTTTCACCCTTTTGGCTAAGATCAAGTGCTATTTGGGAAATGAAGCAGCAGATGGAAGATATTCTTTCTCTCTCCATCCTTCCTTCCTCCTCTCTCTGCAGTTCTTTCAAATACAAATAAACCTTTTTAAAAATATATGTGGGCCAGGTGTGACAGCATAGTGGTTAAAGTCCTCACCTTGAACGCACTGGGATCCCATATGGGCTCTGGTTCTAATCCCAGCAGCTCCACTTCCCATCCAGCTCCCTGCTTGTAGCCCGGGAAAGCAGTCGAGGACGGCCCAGAGCTTTGGGACCCTGCACCCGCGTGGGAGACCCAGAGGGAAGTTCCTGGATCCTGGCTTCAGATTGGTGCAGCACCGGCTGTTGCAGTCACTTGGAGAGTGAGTCGTCGGACAAAAGATCTTCCTCTCTGTCTCTCCTCCTCTCTGTACATTTGCCTTTCCAATAAATAAATAAATAAATAAATCTTTAAAAATATATATATATATGTGTGTGTGTGTGTGTGTGTGTGTGTGTGTAAGACGTCTCCATGAAGTGCAGAGTGCAGCTCAAGTGTTCATTTACTGGTGTTCTATACCACTGATTGCTTCATGATTATCAAGACCTCACAAAGTGCTAGAGATAGTCCCTGGGTGGACCACAGACCTATACCCAAAGGATCAGGCAAAAATACGTAAACCTGTACTTGAACTAAGGACCAGAAAGGAAGAGGCAGGATGCTGCGAGGATTGATGACTGTGAAGACAGCATGATCACAGAAGGCTTCCCCGACAAAGCCATCTACACACTAAAACTGCCTGTGCCAAGATCTTCCCACTGAAGTGATCAGGGCACATTCAAGACCATGAAACATGGGAGAGTCAAGCACACAGAGGGAGTAGGAACACAGTCCAAGACTGGAAGGGGCCAAACCACACAGGGCAGGGGGACACATGAAGTCCTCTGATGTCCATCTCAGGAGCAAAGGGAGGCACTAAGGTAATTTGAGCAGGGTGGGGAAGGAAAATGTAATTACATTGGCATGTTGAAAAGATCCGCACTTGCTGTCGCATTCAGGAAACAGACGAAGACAGCGAGGCTGGCAAACGGTGGCCAGTCCCGAGGAGGGCTGAAAAGCTGCTTAGAGACTGATGACAAGGAGACAGGAAAACAGACACTATTGTGTTCTTTAACTGGATAGCTGCGCCTCCTTCCCTGTGCTCAGAGCAATCCCCTAAGATGCGGACTACTGGTCTACAGGTCTCTGGAAGGCAAAGGTTTCCAGAGGTCAAGCATCTTCTGCAAAGCTGGGCAGCGAGTGGAGCCAGGATTCAACCACCCACCTGGATTTCTGGCCCACTGTTTTAACCACCACAAAGGAGCTGGGGATGAATTGGATAAGGGGATAAAAAGAGAGGAAACTGAACAGCACAATTCTCACAGTCAGTTCCAGAACACTCAGAAGATGGCTTGATAGGTAGGAGAGCAGGAATTCTATTCTGGTAAAACTGGGTGGTGGGGCTGTGAGGTACTCAATGAAAGAACACCTCACGTGCAAGACCCTAGGTACAAATTCACAAGTCAGGGGCACAGAGGGGTCCCTGAAGCTGTGGACACAGGCAGGGCCACAGGACAGAAAGGGAAGGAAAAGAATGCCTGACTGGCGAAAAGGAGAGACAGATGGACCGAGAGGGGTAGGAAGACAAGCAGGAGTCTTTGTGCCCCAAAAGCCGAGGGGGTGAGCATGAAGGAGAGCACGTTTTGAACAGCAGGGGTTGTTGTCACCAAAGATCAACACTCAACACTGCCTAGGACTTGAGCGACAAGACCTCTGCGATGGTTCGTGGGTTTAGAGTGAGGGAGATGCAGTGAGCCGGAGCGGTGATTTCTGTTTGCGTGGTTCCCAAACAAACGTGAGCATCTTTTCAATACTCGCTGGGAAGGCTCCAGAAAGATCTTTGTTGCCGAGAGATGTTATTCACTCCCTTTCTTTTTGGGCTGGAGGGTCATCCCACCGGGAGAATGCAAGCCAGCGCCCCAGCACGCCCAAGACCCCACCACACTCAATTCTTCAAAGCCAAGCGCCAAAGCCCGGGGTCCGAAGACTTCCAACGACCTGAACTCAATGCGAGCCAGGGCAAAGAAAGCTTGTTCCGAGGAAAGCAGAGGCTAAAGGTAGGCCGGGATCGCAGAGCGGACGAGCATAGCCAGGCAGAGATTCCTCCGGCCTGAACCCGGCCCTGGCAGGGGGAAACCGGCCATTGCAGGGAGCAGTCCCCTGTCCTTGAGCTCTGAGGCCAGACGAGGACGAATCCCCCAGCCCGTGGGTGCACCCTAGTCCCAGAGCCCGCCTCGGCCGGGGAATGCTGCTCCGAGGCGGTCAGGCGGCGGCGGCTTGGGGAGGCCACGGCCCAGGCTGTGGGCACCTGCCGGCTGCCCCGGGCGGAAGCGGCCGCTGACCCACCCCGGGCACTGCCCGCCAACACCGGCTCCGGAAAACAGGAAAGCCCGGCTGGCTGGCCCAGCCCTCGGGCCCCCGCCCTCCCCGCGGCAACTCACCATTTTCCTTCCGGCCGTCCGCACCCCGTCGCCTTCTCCAGGTCCCTTTAAGAATGGCAGGGCGGCCGCCTCCCTTCCTGCTCCGGCGCCAGACAGCTTCGCCCCCACCGCCGACACGTGACGGCCGACGGCAGGAGGCTCGGCTCAAAAGTATACGGAACGCGAACGCCTTTTCTGTCAGAAGAAAGATGCGTTGCCTGGTTACCAGCGAAGAGCTTCTCCCCGTATCTCCTTAAAACCTTGGCTCCTTGGAACTCTTCAGGCTCTGAGAGTGACTCGTAGTGGAAAGATGGAAGGCGATGATTCCCGTGGTCAACGTGACAGCAGCTTCCCATGCCGATTGGATCACCCTCAAATCAAGCACACCTCCCTCCATCTGTCCTTTCCCCGAACCCCACATGCTAAGTCTTGGTTAAGACATTGATGTTCCCGGTAGTACGTTGTTAACTCAAGTGTGATTCGATGATGGATGTGTAAGTGAGCCCTGTCACCGGCCACTTTCTAATTGCTCATTGAAAACTGTGCTACTGGGGCGAGACTCTGAGCTAGGCACGCTCGCTCTGTGCGACCACAGTTGCCCAGTTATCGGCGCGCTCAGGAGACGACCTCTTTCAAAAAAAAACTGTGCTACTGTCCTGTATCTGATTGAGTGGTTCTTGCACCTGATAAACATGGGGAGTTTTATTATGTATAAACTTAAAAAATTTGTTTTAAAGATTTACTTATTTTTGTTGGAAAGTCAGATATACAGAGAGGAGTAGAGGCAGAGAGGAAGATCTTCCTCCAATGATTCACTCCCCAAGTGACCACAATGGCTGGTGCTAAGCCAATCCAAAGCCAGAAGCCAGGAGCTCTTCCAGGTCTCCCGCTTGGGTGCAGGGTCCCAAGGCTTTGGACCATCCTCCACTGCTTTCCCAGGCCACAGGCAGGGAGCTGAATGTGAAGTGGGGCCGCCGAGATTAGAACTGCTGCCCATATGAGATCCCAGGCGCATTCAAGGCGAGGGCCTTAACCACTACGCTGTTGTGCTGCCCCTACCAAAAAAAAAAAAAATGTTTTTTAAAGAAACCAAAGACTAGATGGTGCAGAACAGAAGGCAGAAGCAAGGAAACCATTGAAGAGGTTACTGTAGCAATCCAGAGCGTCTATCTTGGACCAAGGTGTAATGAGTCGGTGATTTGATGAGACATCTCAAGGCCAATGGAATTTTCCAAGTCGGAGGTTTCTACCCTGGGCAATGTTGACCTTTATGGTCACGAGCTTCTTCCTCGCTGTTAAGCTGTGCTGTCACTGTGGGATGTTGAGCAGCAGCGCTGGGCTCTGTACCCCCTAGAGACCACTGCTCCTCTGAGACAACACAACCAAAAAGGCCTGCTGCCATAGCCAAAAGGTCAGGCGGGCAGAGGATCGTCGCTCACAGTGATAACCATGAATGTGAATAAAGCTTTTAAGCTTTGGGACACATACTAAGTATTCCCATACTGGTGCTTAGCTTATTAAGCCACCATGTGGGCCTCTAAGTTTTATAAGTTTTCACAAATTCTTGAAGCGCCATTAAGACACACACACACACACACACACACACACACACACACCACATTGGTGGTAGTAAAAGTGGCATTTAATGTGCTACCTGCAGTAGAGAAACTGAGGTAATGATCCAGGAGTATGCCTCCCAAGGGGGAGAGGGAGTCAGTCTTCCACTTCTGAGCCAGTGGAGTGTGCAAGCAATCCTGTGCACCTTTGCTAGCTTCCTCATCGGGGCTGGAATCTCCAACGGGAGCAGAGAGCATCACGGAGACATCAGCATAGCTGGGGGATTAGAGAGCCTGAAGTGATTTAGGTTGAGTAGATAGCTTTCCTGTAAAAGGAAGTGGGCTCTGTACCCCTTGCCGTGGCACTGGAGCAGCGACACTCAGCAGTGGTAAAGTGAGTGTTGGAGGGGAAGAGGCAAGAGGACGGGAAAGAATGATAACAAACCAGAGGGTTAGAATCCAACCTCAGCGAGTGAGAGCTACGTCCAGGAGTAAGCTATTGTTGAGTCCTTACACTTCTGCAACAGAGGAGTTTAAACTCTGTCTCTTACAAGTAATAGTGTTTTGTCCCAAGGCCAGGTACCATGGAAACTAGGAATTTTCTTTGTTCATGGAGAAACATCTTTGAGGGAAACTTTTAAAAGGTGCATTCCCCACCATTGATACGGGTTTTGCTTCTTTGCCTCCTGCCACTATGGCAGAGCACTAGGGTTCTTTTTACTTTTCCTCCTGCCACTATGGCAGGGGTAAGGGTCTTTTTCTATCTCAAAACCCCCTCCCGTCGCTAGGACGGGAGTCTTCTCTTCTCAACTTTTCTAATAAATCTTGCTTTAAAACTAAAAAAAAAAAAAAAAAAAAAAAAGTAATAGTGTTTTAGAACTTCTAGCCAGCCTGCTTAGAATAAAGAGTGTTTCTACCACCTTTTGCAGTTAAATATAGGTATAATCCTGAAGTTTGGTTAATGTGTGTGATGTGAACCTTATAGAGACTGATGTGTCATTTTCCTTTCCTTTCTTCTTCCCTGATCACAAGAATCTGGTCATGATGGCTGGAGCTGAAACAGCATCTTGGACTTTGAGGTGACCTTTGAAGTGAAGACTACAGGTGGTAGAGCCTCACGGGAATCTGGGTCCATGGCGCTGTGGAGCACTGAACTGTGTCAACATTAATTTCCTCTGGACTTTCACCTGAGAGGGAAAGAGGGTAAGGGACAGACACACACACACACACACACACACACACACACACACACACAGAAAATGTTTATCTTGATTAAAATACAATCATTGTTGGTTTTCGGTCAGATATAATTGCTTCTAATGAATATTCCACTTAATTGAAAGTCCTCATCAGTATCCTAATCAGAGCTAGTATTATTTCTTATCTAGGCTTTCTTCTCAATCTCGTCTCACTCAGTTTTCTACATAATAGCCAGTGTTTGATTCAAAATACAAATCCAGAAGCCAGGAGCTTCTTCCAGCTCTCATCGGAGTGCAGGGTCCCAAAGCTTTGAGCCATCCTCGACTGCTCTCCCAGGCCACAAGCAGGGAGCTGGATGGGAAGTGGAGCAACTGGGACATGAACCAGTGCCTATATGGGATACTGGTACTTGAAGAGGGCGGGGGGTGGGTACTAGCCAATTGAGCCATTGTGCCAGCCTCTGCTCAAAATTCATTGGATTTATTTTATCTTTTCTGTTAGATGATAAGCTTAATTTTAAAAAGGCATGCCACATTTTTTTTATTGTATCACAGGTGCTTTCAGTAATGCCTATCTAACACTCAGTAAACTTTTTCTTTTTTAAAAAAGATTTATTTGTTATTATTATTGCACCAAAATAAGCTTATCTTCTCATTCCATTTTCCATGAATTTTTTGTAATGCTCAATAACATGGAAATCAAGAATTTTTGGCAGTGGATTGAAATATACACTATGAAAATTCCATTTTGTCAGCATGGAGCAAGATGTGCTGGAGATAAAGTGTATGGGAAATAGCAAAGTTGTCCCTGCTGTAGCAGATACTCAGATGGGGAATCATAAGGGCTATGTCAGGATCTAGCATGACATAAGCATAGCCATTTTATTCATGACTGTTGTCTTGCCCTGTGGGTAACCCTGACTGTCATCCCCAAACCCGTGGGATAGGTAAAGTTGCTAGGAAACGCTGTCAGGTTTATTTGATGAGCTCAGACTCTGCAATGTCTCTTATCTGAAGCCTGGAATGTTATTTGAAACAGCCCAGGTATACCTAGTTAAGCTGTGGTCACCTTTGTGCAGCCTAACCTAGGTGCAAACGCCTTACTACTGACTGGAGGTGTGCAGATTGATATGTTTTGTGCTCACCCAAGACCAACTCCGTACATCCCCCAGTGAGTTACATGTTGTCCTTTCTTCAGTCTGCTCTCACATATAAAGTTTTTCTGAAACAAGTTAACTTTGTATTAGTTCCTGTTGTCAATGAGAATTCTCCAGCAGGATCAATCAGATTAGGGCTCAGTTTTTCCCCACTGCTGTTTTGGGACTTGATTTTCATGTTCCAGAGAGTAAATTATCCCTACTCCTCTATTTTCTCCTTTTCTAGTATGCTGTTGCTATTACTATTTGTTCGGTTTTTGTTGTTGCTGTTGTTTACACTTTTAGTTTTTTTATAGTGTTAGTGGAATATGGAGAACCAACAGAATCAGATCTATTTAAGGCTACTTACTTGGAAATTCTTCAATCTTTCCTTTAGTATAAATTTTTTTTTGGATGATAAAATCACTTTTCAGATGGGCCAAAAGTTTTGTTATGTGACAGTAAAAATACAGTAAAGCTGAATGAAAGAGTTGGAGTACAAATTGATACATTTCTAGGGAGCAGTGCTTTTCCAAATTCTGGAAAAATATGAAAAGTCTCCCCTACAGTAATTTATTCTGAGATAATTTCAGGCTATTTATTACAGTTTCATTAATAGCAATTAAAAACTTTTTCAACAAGTGAGAACTGATGAAATATGTTAATTTAAAAATATGCTGAAGAGTCCGGCAGAATGATTCACTTGGCTAATCCTTCACCTGCAAGTACTAGCATCCTATATGGGTGCTGGTCCATGACCCAGCTGCTCGGATTCCCATTCCAGCTCCCTGCTTATGGCCTGGGGAAGCAGTGGAGGATGGACCAATATCTTGAGTCCCTGTACCTCCTGGCTTTGGGTCAATACAGCTCTGGCTGTTGCAGACATTTGTGGAGCAAATGGAAGATATTTTTTGTCTCTTTCTCTCTCCATAAATCTGCCTTTCCAGTAAAACAAATAAATAATTAAAAAGAGTTGGGAGGGGTGTCAACTTTGGGGAGCTGGATCAACCAGAGATCTACTTTCTGTACTTAGAAGCTTCTGAGTGATTTAAGAGGAAAAAAATGCAATTGTTACTTTGAATGAGGGCCAAGTGCAATAGCCTAGCAGCTAAAGTTCTCCCCATATGGGCACTGGTTCTAGTACCAGCAGCTCCACTCCCCATCCAGCTTCCTGCTTCTGGTCTGGGAAAGCAGTCGAGGCTGGCCCAAAGCTTTGGGAAACTGCACCTGTGTGAGAGACCTGGAGGAGGCTCCTGGCTTCAGACCAGCTCAACTCCTGCTGTTGGGGTGCTTTGGGAGTGAACCATCAGACGGAAGATCTTCCTCTCTGTCTCTTCTCCTCTCTGTATGTATGTATTTGACTTTGCAATAAAATAAACAATTATTTTTAAAAATAAAAAAATATGAAAGAGCTCTAATTTCAGCAGTACAGGGGGAGAGGGAGAGTCTTTTTTTTTTCTTTTAGATCATATTTTATTTTATTTTGGAAAGGCAGAAAGATCTTCCCTTCATTGGTTCACTTCCCAGATGTCTACCAAGGTTGGAGCCGAGCCGATCTGAAGCCTGGAGCTTCATCTAGGTCTTCCACGTGGGTTAGGAGCCCAAGGCTTTGAGTCATCCTCCAGTACTTTCCCAGGCCGTAAGCTGGGAGGAGCTGGATGGGAAGTGGAACAGCCGAGCCACTAACCGGCACCCATATGTTTCTCTTAGAAACAAGACAATTGAGACCGACGCAATAGCTCATTGTCTTGGTTCTAAGAGAATTTTTCATAAGCAATTCTGATCTAAGATCACGTCCAATCTGAGGACTGCCAGGGCTCGTGAACATTTCTTGTGTAGAGATTCCTTTGTGTGTTTTCTAAATTTCTTAGTTAAAACTGGGACAGCTAGGGGATTCTTTGGCTTTGTAGTACCCACGATCTAATCCGCAGGGTTTCGGAATTTGGAAACAGTGCGAGTTGTTTTCGGACAGTACGTCTCTCGGACATAAGGAAACCTGCAGATCCTGATCACAGCTCGCTTCAATTAATGTTTGAAACTTCCGCGGAGCAGCGAAGACCCTCGGGCCAGACCAGCCAGAAGAAGCTAGCTAGCTGGGTACCAATCTTGAAAGTTGAGGGAGGCGGTACTACCAAGGGCCACGCCCCTCGGCGGAGCCAATGACCGGAGACGGGAGCTGAAGGGGCGTGGCGAGCCTCGCAGGCGACGACGTGATTGGCACTTGACCTGACGCGGCCCACGAGGCTGCCCCGGCTTCTAGCTCCGGCTGAATCCCCGGCGAGTGCGGGCCTAGGAAGTGTGTCCACTCCCGGGTACCGTAGCGGCTTTTAGCCCGGGCCGGGCGGGCTGGGCTGGGCTGGCCTGGACTGGGCCGGGTGGCCGGAGCCAAGCTCAGTCCCGGAGACCCTGATGGCTGCGGTGTTTCTGGTCACGCTGTACGAATATTCACCGCTTTTCTACATCGCGGTGGTGTTTACCTGCTTTGTCGTGACTACCGGCTTGGTACTAGGATGGTGAGTGTGTCCCCAGGGCGTACAGCTTCGGGAGTGGAGGGGGTCGCGGCCAGCAGCCGTGCGCGCTGGGGAAGGGGGCCGCGGGGCGGCTGCGACTGTCGGGGGAGAGACGGGGCCGGGGGCTCCGAGGGGCCTCGCGGGGCAGGGAGGCAAGGTGGTCACCGCACCTGCGTCGCTGCCCTGCAGCCCAGGCTGGTGCCCCGCCGTGGCGGACACCCAGAGGACGCCAGGTCAGGGTATCTCACCCAGCTTTGTTTCAAAGGCGACCACACAGCCGAGAAGGGCCCGCTCCGGTGTCGGGTCTGGCGCTGGAAGTCCAGTGGGCTTCTGTCCCAGATCAGGGCCTACTGTATGCGCAGGAAACCGGAGAATGAAACCCCAGCTGGGAAACACCTGCCTTCAAGTGTTTGCACAGAACTTGTCACCAAACTTGGGGAGGGGGGAGCTTTTACTGGTTTCTATTCAAAGTCCAACACCACTTCTGAGGTCACCCTTAAGCAATACAGGTGTAAAAGTGGCCACTTGAGGGGCTCGAAAGGGATGTTAGGAAGAAGCGACACCCCAGGGGTCCAGGCAGCTGGTGGATGGGAGACCAGGAGAGCAAAGACTGTTAGATCTTCCCTGGGGCGGTCCCAGCCTACACATTCTCCTACACAGATTCTCTCTTTTGAGATCCTGTTGTCACTTGCGTTTAGACCTCAGAAATACAGCAGGCTGGCAGCTGTGACAGATGTTGGCCCCAAGTGGTGGACCAGTGTGGCCGGAAGCAGGCAGAGAGGATCCGGTGAAGGGGAGAAATAAACTGGGATTTTGGAGAATGAGTGATTTGGAATACGAAAGTTGAATGTGTGTGGTGCAGAAGGCATTTCAGAGAACACTTGGTGAGCAGAGCGGGAGGACGTGTTCATGATCACGCCAGGCTTCTTCAAACGAGGTCAGAAACACCCCTCAATCCACATGGGGAGGTAGAGGGAAAGTCACAAAGTTTCTGTAAACTTTTAAAGTCGTCCCTCCCTCTTACTGCCTCCCCCCTACCCTGCCCTATTTGGCAATAGTTTAAAGAAAGGACCCCCCACGCTGGTGAGTTTCCGAAAAGACACACCTCTTTAGGAGCTAAAGGAAATTGTAATATTTACGTGCTGCCCCCAGCCTGCCAGGCTTAGAATAGAAACCCCCTTGTATGTGGATGCAGGGAGATTAGGACAAGCCCTACCCAGTTTGTTGCTTTTGACCCATCAGATTTTATTACTGTTATTAATTTTAAGAGAGTTTGTAACTGGAATGAGGGAGGTGTTACCCAACGCAGCATTTTTAAATGACCATAATGTTAATGTCACTCTCTTAAAGAATGCAATTTCTCCATGAGGAAACAAAGTACTTAGTTGATCAACACGTCATGTGCTTAGATTTTTACTATGAAGACCAACTATTAGATCAGTCAGCTGTGTGTCTTTAGCTGATAACCAGGCTGAGCTCCGTGGGTGAAGGTTATTGGGAGTCTCAGTGTTTGTGATGGTCAAGAGAAGTCAGAGCAGTCAGATGCAGGTTAAATCTTGGTTCTGCTAGGTTTCAAAGATTTGAATAGTTAGCAGTTATATTGGTTTTTATATTTAATGGCTATCACTCCAGGTAAGTATGATTTTTAAAAAGGTGGGAGGCCAGGCCGTCACAATGCTTTTGGAAGTTTGGGTGAAGCACTATTGAGGGCAAGAAGCCCATGGAAGTGCCAGTTGGTCCTGGCCAGTCATTTTGAACACAGTCGAATCACTCTTTCCATCTGGATCAGCTTTGCCCAAGTAGGTAGGCTTACCATGTTTATTTGTAAACCTAAGCCAAGAGTACACATTTGCTGAGTAGAAAGATGAAACCTGCTTCTCTAAAGACATCTAATAGTACCACACCAGAGAGGTGAAAAAACCAACCACCTTGCTTTTCAATCCTTATCATTTTATTTTGTTTTTAACCTCCCCAAGCATGATCTGTCTAGGTCATCTGTTTTTCTGTTGTGGTTCTGTGTGGTTATGCTGGTTTCTTTCTGTTCCTTCTCTCCCCTGCTCTTGGCAGAGATTCATGAGAAAGCATGGCATTGCTGTTTTACCCACGTGGTCTTGCAGTAGCTCCACAACTCAAAGTGCCGTGTCCATGCTTCATAGTTTCAGGTGACAAGGATCCTGCTGGCATACTGGACCTCGCTCCTCCTGCACTTACTCTGTTTGGTGATCTGTGGGAGAATTCTAAGGCACCTTTCCTCTTGGCTGACTGCTGTGCCCCAGGCCTTGCCAATAAGGAGGGCATCTGCAAGGCTGCAAGGGCAGGAAAGGCCTTGCTGCTTCCTGTTTGCTCCCTTTTCTTGTCCGTCTTAGCCTGGCAGTGGAGGTGCATCCTAGCATGCCACTGTAGCATTTCCCACTCTCTGAGGGCAGCCTCCTTAAGCAGCTTCTGTGTCCCAGCTCCACAGGGACCCTTCTGCTCTGTATGCTTGTCCTGGGAGAGAGTGCTTCCTGCTGTTGCTGAGGTATTCTTCAGTGTCTTCCTGTTCGTCCTGTCCATTTTCCTACTGGTCAATTTTTTAAAATGTATATTTGTCTGTTAAAATAGCTGATTGGATTTTAGTCAACTGGTACAGAAATTATTGCTGTGAATGGGATCTTGAGGGGGAGGGAATGGAACTCTCAAAGACAAAATGTAGGCTGGTTTGGTTATTTCTTTAATTCTTGTTAATGAGAAATAGAATTTTGTTTTAACACCATTTTGTTTTCCTTTTTTAAAAAAGATTTATTTATTTTTATTGGAAAGTCAGATATACATATAGAGAGGAGGAAAGACAAAGAGGAAGATCTTCCATCCGATGATTCACTCCCCAAGCAGCCACAATGGCTGGTGCTACGCCGATCCGAAGCCAGGAGCCAGGAACCTCCTCCAGGTTTCCCACATGGGTGCAGGGTCCCAAGGCTTTGGGCCGTCCTCGACTGTTTTCCCAGGCTACAAGCAGGGAGCTGGATAGGAAGTGGGGCAACGAGGATTAGAACCGGCACCCATATGGGATCCCGGCATGTTCAGGGCAAGGACTTTAGCTGCTAGGCCACGGTGCCCGGCCCTTCTTTTCCTTTTTTAAAAAGCTTTTTTGAAAGGCAGAGTTACACAGAGAGGGAGATCTTCAATCCACTGATTTACTCACGAAGTGGCTGAACTGGGCCAGGTTGATGCCAGGAGCCAGGGGCTTTTCCCCAGCTGGCCACATAGGTTCAGGAGTGCAATCACTTGGGCCATTTTCTGCTGCTTTTCCAGGCGCATAGACGGCAGCTGGATCAGAAGTGGAGCAATCATGACTCCAGCCGATTCCCATGTGGGACGTCAGCAATGACTTTATCTGCCACGCACAAGGTCAGCCATGTGAGAAATAGGATTCTAGTAATCCATGGCTTGCCCATGATAGTTAACAATGTTCCTGGTAAACATCTTTGTTCTGAAGAGTGATATTTTGGCCCTACAGTCGGATCTACCTACAAGGCTGGTAGCTGACTGTAGTGCTCTATCCCATAGTGGAGTGCCTAGGTTTGATCCTGACTCCACTCTGGCATTGTCTTTCCGTTGGTGCAAGTCCTGGGAGTCAGAGGTGATGTCACTACCCATGTCGGAACCTTTCATGGCGTTCCTTACTGTGGCCTAGCCTGGCCTTGGCCATTGGAGAGTAGACTGACATATTGAAGAGCTCTGTCCTGTTCCCTCTCGAGTAATTTTTGAGTTCTGAAAAAAGTTTTTGAGACCAACTTTGGTGTTACTATTGCCACTCCAGGTTTATGTGTGTGTGTAAGTACACGTTTCCATCTTCTTACTTGTAACCTATATTTATCTTGAGGTTTAAAATGGTTTTCTTATTTTTTTTTTTTAAACCTTTTCTTTTTTTAAGATTTATTTCTTTTCATTGGCAACTCAGATACAGAGAGAAGGAAAGACAGAGAGGAAGATCCTTCATCCGATGGCCCACTCCCGAAGCGGCCGCAATGGTTGGAGCTGAGCCAATCTAGAGCCAGGATCCTCTTCCGGGTCTCCCACGCAGGCACAGGGTCCCAAGACTCCAGGCCGTTCTTGACCGCCCTTCCAGGCCACCAGCAAGGAGCCTGATGGGAAGTGGAACTGCCGGGATTAAAACCTGCACCCATATGGGATACCGGGCGTGCAAGGCGAGGACGTCAACCACTACGCCATCGTGCTGGGCCCTAAAATGGTTTTCTTATATATAGCATATAGTTACATCTTATTTTTTTTAAGATTTATTTATTTTTAGGGCCCAGCCCAGTGACCTAGCAGATTAAGTCCTTGCCTTGAACCTCCCAGGATCCCATATGGGCACTGGTTCTAATCCTGGCAGCCCTGCTTCCCATCTACCTCCCTGCTTATGGCCTGGGAAAGCAACAGAGGACGGCTCAAAGCCTTGGGACCCTGTAGCTGCATAGGAGATCCGGAAGAGGTTCCTGGCTCCTGGCTTCAGATCGGCTCAGCTCCAGGCGTTGCAGTCATTTAGGGGAGTCAATCATCAGATGGAAAATCTTCCTCTCTGTCTCTCCTCCTATGTATCTAACTTTACCATAAAAAAATATTAAATCTTTAAAAAAATATATATATATTTACTTGCTAGTAAATATAGGTAGGTAACTGTCATGGGTATGCCATGGATTTATTTTTATTGGAAAGACAGACTTACTGAGAGAAGGGGAGCCAGGAAAACAGGAGCCAGGAGCTTCTTCTGGGTCTCCCACGTGAGTTCTTTGCCACAAGGCTTTGGGCCATCCTCTATTGCTTTGTGAGGCCACAGGTGGGGCGTTAGATGGCAAGTGGAATAGTTGGGACCTGATCGGGCACCCATATCGATCCCAGGAATTGCAAAGTGAGGATTTAGCCACTGAGCCATCATGCCAGCCCACATCTTATATTTTTATATGATCTGATAATCTTTTAATTGGGGAGATTAAGTAATTTGCATTTGATGTGATTTATTATGATGATGAAATTGAAATCTACCACCTTGCTGCTTGCCCTGTGTTTGTATTCCTCTTCCTCCTCTGTAGTTCAGCCTTCATTTATGCTAAAGTTCTTTATATGATTCTGCTTTAGCTCTTTGTTGATTAATTAGCAATACATTTCTTGAGTCATTCCTTTAGGATTTGTGGTATACTTCTCACAAGTAATAAAGAGATTTAAGTGGGCCTGGCGCCATGGCCTAGTGGCTAAAAGTCCTAACCTAGAATGCGCCGGGATCCCATATGGGCACCGGATCTAATCCTGGCAGCTCCACTTCCCATCCAGCTCCCTGCTTGTGGCCTGGGAGAGCAGTTGAGGACAGCCCAAAGCTTTGGGACCCTGCACCTATGTGGGAGACCCGGAAGAAGTTCCCGGATCCTGGCTGCGGATCGGCATAGCATCAGCTGTTGTGCTCACTTGGGGAGTGAGTCATAGGACAGAAGATCTTCCTCTCTATCTCTCCTCCTGTCTGTATATCTGACTTTGTAATAAAAATAAATAAATGTTGAAAAAAAAGAGATTTAAGTAAGAAAATAAAAATATTTTCTGATAGTGTTACCATTTCATTGCTATTCGTTTCTTTTCTTCAAGACAGATTTCTGTTTGGGATCATTTTCTTTCTTTTCAAGAAAACTCCTTTTTTTTTTTAAAGATTATTTTATTTTTATTGCAAAGTCAGATATATATATAGAGAGAGAGAGAGGAGGAGAGACAGAGAGCAAGACCCTCCATCCAATGATTCATTCCCCAAGTGACCGTAATGGCCTGTGCTGTGCCAATCCAAAGCCAGGAGCCTGGAACTTGCTCCAGGTTCCCACACAGGTGCAGGGTCCTAAGGCTTTGGGCCTTCCTTGGCCACAATCAGGGAGCTGAATGGGAAGCTGGGCCACTGGCGTTAGAACTGGTGCCCATATATGGGATCCAGGTATGTACAAGGTGATAACGTTAGCTGCTAGGCTATAGTGCTGGGACCAGAAAACTTCTACCGTTTCTTACTCTACAGGTATATTGTTGATGAATTCTTTTAGCTTTTCCTAACTTTGAAGAAGTCCTTATTTTTTGTTTTGCAAAATATAGATTGGTTATTTTTTTTCCTTTTTACTCTTTGAAGATTTTCTGACTTTCACTGCTTCTGGCAATAAAGCTACTCTCCCCCTTATCTTGTTTTTAATGTGGTATATTTTTCATGGGCTGCTTCTAAGTGGCCACTTGGGTTTAAACAATTGATTATTAGTGCCATAGTATAATTTTCTTAACTTCTTGTGCTTTGAGATTCTGGAGTCTGTGAACTTGTCATTTTGAATGCGTTAGAGATGTTACTGGTCATTATATGTTCAAGCTCTTTATTTGTCTGCTGCTGCTCTGGCTTTCTGCTGTGTGTGCTTCAAACTGCTTGAAGCTGTTCCTTTTTTTAATTTATTTTTATTTTTATTTTTATTCAGTCTTTTTTTTTCTTTCTTTTTATGTTTCATTTTAGGTACTTTCTATAGTGTTAATTTTTTGTTTTGTTATGTCTAATCTGCAGTCGTTTCCATCGGAAGCACTCCACCTCTGGAAGTTTCTATCTTCCATATCTTTATCATCTGCTGAATCTTACATTTTTAAACATATGAAATGTAAGAAGTATTCTGATGTCTGTCTAGTAATTACATGTTGTCATTTTTTGGTTTTTTACAGATTAGTTTCTCTGATGCTGTGGGTACTAATTCTTTGGCTTTTTTACATACCTGTTAGTTTTTTAACACTGGATTGTAAACATTGTGAATTTTACATTATTGGATGCTGACTATTTTCATATTCCTATAAAAATTCCTAAGCTCTGCTCTTGGTCACAGTGAAGCTGCTTGGAAATGGTTTGGTCTGTGAGAGGCTAAGTTTGAGTTTTATTAGGCATAATCAGGATAGTTTTAGTTCTAGCAAGTTAAGCTTATCTAGAGTGGAAGTTTTGTTTACTTTGGTTGGTTGTTGCTGCGTTAGATTTTTTGGGCATGTTTTGAAGTTTTAGTAGAGGGTTCTTTGTTTTGTTTTATTCTGTTTCTGCTTTGTCCTTACCCTCATATTGAGCCTCTTTGTAATCATCACCCAGATTCCGGGGCCCCCTGTACCGGACCGCATGATAAATATTGGCCTATCGCAACTCTTGGTTCCAAAGTTGCAGACCGATATAATTTTGTTGTTGTTGTTCTAATTCATACCAGTTATTGACCTTATTTAGTGGCTTTTCGTTTATGGGAGTGTATAGTAATGGAATAATGGAGACTATCATATCCAGGTGTAGGGATACAATGCAATATGCATCCCTGCTTCCAAATCAGAGATGGACTCCCAATGAAACTGTTGGAAATGTGTAGACAATGGGATGCTGGACTGTCTGACGTTGTCTGTACCAGCAATGTCGGGGCACTTAAATAAGAGACTGATGGAATCATGACTCCTCATGAAGGACTATACTGTTGTAGCAGTGTGGGGAAAATCTGTCCGGGGGTGGGAGTTCGGGGGGGGGGGGGGGGAATCCCAGTCTCTACAGAATTGTACCATAAAATTCAAAAATTAAAAATAAAAATTTAACAACAACAGCAAAGAAAGTTGCAGACCTAGCCATGACTCGTTTTTGAGTAGACAGCTTGTGTCAACCTCTTTTCCTACTTGAAGACTCCGTGGCCACTGCCTGCCACCAGACTCAGAACACACTGACCCATGGCATTAGCCTTGCTTACTACTTTTTGTTTCTTTCCCTTTTTAATTCATAAAGGTATTTATCTTCAAATCTAGCTATTTCTCTCTTTTTCCAAGATTTAGTATAAAAGATTTTAAGCACATAAAACCCTGGAGAGAATTACGCAGGGGACTTGTATTTGCCTATGGCTTAGATTCTGCCACTAGTATCATACTATAATTTCTTTACTACATGTCTGTCCATCTATCCATTCTTCTGCTTGCACATTGGTTCATCTTATTTCATCTTGGGCTTCCAAGTAAGCTGAGCTCTTCATTCGTAAGTACTATCATACTGATAAATAAAGTTCAGTGTTTACTTTGGTTTACAGTTCTTTTTTTTACTTTTAAAATGGTGTCTGCATGCAAAGAAATATTCCAACTGTGGGGGCTGGTGCATAGACTCAGCTAGCTAATCTCCGCCTCCACGTGCGGACATCCCATATGGGCATGGGTTCATGTCCTGGCTGCTCCACTTCTACTCCAGCTCCCTGCTTATGGCCTGGGAAAACAGTAAAAGATGATTCAAGCCTTGGAATCCTGCCCATGTGGGAGACCCAGGAGAAGCTCCTGGCTTCAGGCTTCAAATTGGCTCAGCTTTGGTCATTGCAGCCATTTAGGGAATGAACCAGCAGACTTTGTCTCTCCTTCTCTCTGTTAAATCTGGCTTTCCAATAAGAATAAATAAATCTTAAAAAAAAATGTATAGACTGGCATTTGATGGTGCTTTGAAACATATCACCTATACAACTCAAGCCTTTAGTAAGATATAGAAAATTACCACCCATGTGGTAAATATCCATATATCCATACCCTCAGTGCCTACTCCTGTGCTTCCAGAAGCAACCATTGTTCTCTTTCTTCTTTTTTTTAAAGATGCATTTATTTTTATTTGAAAGGCAGATTTACAGAAAGGAGAGAAATCTACAGAGAGAGAGAAAACTTCCATCCACTGGCCCTGTGGTACCAGAATCCCATATGGGTGCTGGTTTGAGTCCCAGCTGCATTGCTTCCAATCAGTCTCCCTACCAGTGGCTTTAGAAAACAGCTTTGGGAGCCCGTCGCAGTGACCTAGTGGTTAGAGTCCTCACCTTGAACGCTCTGGGATCCCATGTAGGCACCAGTTCTAATCCTGGTGACCCAGCTTCCCATCTGGCTCCTTGCTCATGGCCTGGGAAAGCAGTCAAGGACAGCCCAAAGCCTTGGGATGCTGCACCCGTGTGAGAGAACTGGAAGAGATTCCTAGCTTCTGGCTTTGGATTGGCACAGCTCCAGCCGTTGCAGTCACTTGGGGAGTAAATCATTGGATGGAAGATCTTCCTCTCTGTCACTCTTCCTCTCTATCTGACTTTGCAATAAAAATAAATCTTAAAAAAAAAAGAAAGAAAGAAAAGAAAGCAACCTTGGGCCCTGTGTCCATGTAGGAGATCTGACTCCCAGTTTCGGAGCAGCCCGGTACTGGACATTGCAACCTTTTGGGGGAGCGAATCAGCAGATGGGAGATTTCTCTCTCTCTCCTTCTTTCTCTCTTAGTCTCTGTAATTCTGGAGTTCAAGTAAATAAATGAATCTTTTTAAAAATTGTCTTGTCCCTAAGAGCATAGTAAATAGTCTACATATGGGATATATGTTTTGTGTATCTCCTTCAAAATTCTGTAATTTTATTTCTTTTTCTGACATATTAAGTATAGCTTTTTTTTTTTAAAGATTTATTTTTATTATTTTTTGATTGGAAAGGCGGATATACAGAGAGGAGAGACAGAGAGGAAGATCTTCCGTCTGATGATTCACTCCCCAAGTGAGTGCAACGGTCAATGCTATGCCGATCCGAAGCCAGGAGCCTCTTCCGGGTCTCCCACTCGGGTGCAGGGTGCCAAAGCTTTGGGCCGTCCTCGGCTGCTTCCCTGGGCCACAGGCGTGGAGCTGGAAGGGAAGCGGGGCTGCTGGGATAGAACCGGCGCCCATATGGGATCCCGGGCATTCAAGCAGAGGACCTTAACCACTTGCGCCACCGCCCTGGGCCCGAGCTCTTGGTTTTCAAGAGCATCTTCAGTTTTAGCCATCTGAACCATGGTGTTGCAACTTGGTGTGACCAATTCCGTAATTCTAGGTTTCTGCAAAAGATGGTAAATTGAGTTGCTTGATCTTTTTTCTGACATTTAGGGTAAGGATCAGCTAATGAACATGCTACAAATGGTGTAAAGTTTCAACCTTTGCTACAACTAGTGTTTTGTTTTGTTTTCGCCTTTCTCCAGGTTTGGTTGGGATGTGCCAGTCATTCTGAGAAACTCAGAAGAGACCCAGTTCAGTGCAAGAGTTTTCAAGAAACAGATGAGACAAGTCAAGAATCCTTTTGGCTTAGAGATTACTAATCCATCTTCAGCTTCAATTTCAAGTTGGTGACTATTTCCCAAAGCTTTTGTCTCATTATGTGCAACCACCCCTCCCACCTCTGCCATTTCTGTCTCTCTGGCTTCCTCTTTAGGCTCCGTAACAACCGTTTATTGGCAAGTATTTTGTTCCTGACCTGGACTACATTGTACAGATACAAAACTAAAGAACTCATAAACTTTACTATTGAGGAATTTACCAGTTAATAAATAGAGACAGATTATGTATATACAGATGAAAAAAAACAAAGTATTCCAGATGTTCCCAAGATTAGTGTGTTGAGACCTGCCTTTGTCCTTCATCTTCAGGGTGGTGAGAGATGATGCCACAGGACTAAACGCAGCTGGGGAAGGCTGCTGTCTCTTACCTGAGCTCACTGTGCTTTGCCATGGATTGTTTCAATGGAACATGATGCTTTTGTAGATGAGAACCAGAGGTGACAGTTGTTTGTTTCTGGATTTAGTTGCGGTCTTGGAACAATAAATTGTCTCTGTGACCCCCTAGGTACCTATGGCAGAGTGACTTGCAAAGAAAGAAATGGTGTATTAAGGTGAGGAAATACGCAGGAAAGGTTTCATAAAAAAGCATATGCTAAGTCTTTTATTTTATTTTTTTTTACATTTTGTTTATTTTTATTGCAAAGTCTGATATACAGAGAGGAGGAGAGACAGAGAGGAAGATCTTCTGTCTGATGATTCACTCCTCAAGTGACTGCAACAGCCGGTGCTGTGCCGATCCAGAGCCAGGAGCTTCTTCCAGGCCTCCCAAGTGGGTGCAGTGTCCTGAGGCTCTGGGCCATCCCGAACTCCCTTCTCAGGTCACAAGCAGGGAGCTGGATGGGAAGCGGGGTGACTGGGATTAGAACCAGGATGCCTATGGAATCCTGGCCCATGCCAGTGAGGACCCCAGCTGCTAGGCTACCACACTGGGCCCATTAAGTCTTTTTTATTTTTCTTTTCTGTGTGTGTGGTTTTTTTTTTTTTTTAAGATTTATTTATTTTTATTGCAAAGTCAGATATACAGAGAAGAGGAGAGACAGAGAGGAAATTCCTTCATCCAATGATTCATTCCCCAAGTGGCCACAATGGCTGGTGCTGAATCAAACCAAAGCCAGGAGGCAGGAGCTCTTCCAGGTCTCCCGTGCGGGTGCAGGGCCGTCCTCGACTGCTTTCCCAGGCCACAGGAAGGGAGCTGGATGGGAAGCGGGGCCGCGGGGATTAGAACCAGTGCCCACATGGGATCTTGGCTTGTTCAAGGCAAGGACCTTTAGCTGCTAGGCCACTACGCTGCGCCCCCCCCCCCCGCTTATTCTTTATTTTTATATTTTAAAAAGACTTGTTTATTTGAAAGACACAATGATGGAGAGTGTAAGCACACTCTTGCGTCTGCAGCCAGTCCCTCCTGGCCGCAGTGGTCTTGGTCAGGCCAAAGCCAGGAGCTAGGAACTCCGCTCTGGTCTCCCACCTGGAATGGCTGAGTCCCTGACGTATTAGCAGGATGCCGGGTTGGAAGCAGGACAGCCAGGGCTCTAACTGGCACACTGCTATCTGTTGCCATCATTACATGTGACAGCTTAATGTGCTGCTCCCAAAACCAAAGCCCTTGTTGTAAATAATGTTTCTCTAATAATCTTTGTTTAATAAAGATAAGTTAGGTGTTTCCTTCTTGGTTTGGGGAAGATTCCAGGGAGAAGAGGAGTGAGGACAGTCCTGTGATGAATGTGAGAGAGATAATAAGTACTTTGGAGTAACAACAACTAGTTTGTTACAGATTAAACATAAGGAGGGACAGATAAGACAGAGGTGAGAGGTGACAACTTGGGGTTCTTTAATAGATCTGTTTCATTTTTATTTGAAAGATAGTTGCAGAGAAAAGGAGAGAGAGAAAGTGAGAGAGGACCTTCCATCCACTAGTTTACTGTTGAACCGGCTGCAGCAGTCAGAGCTAGGCTGATCTGAAGCCAGGAGCCAGGAGCTTCTTCCGTGTTTCCCATGGGAGTACAGGGTCCCAAAGATTTTGGCCCATCTTCTACTGCTTACCAGGCCCTAAGCAGATGGGAATGAAGCAGTCAGGACAGGAACATCACTCATTTAGAATGCTGGCGCCTCAGGCAGAGGATTAGCTTATCACACAGTGTTACACCCACCTCCCACCCTTTGTCTTGAAGATTTATTTTTTCTTTTTGAAAGACAGAGTTATAGAAAGAAGGGGAGTGGGGGAGGGTGACCTGAGGTTCTTTACTTACATCCTGCATAGGCCAGGAGGACAGGAGGAGCGGCGGGTTTGGAAGAGAAGAAATGCATTGAGTTTTGCACTTTGGATCTTTGAAATGCTCTTGACAGTTCAGCAGAGACGTGGAGCAGTTAGTTCCAGATCCTGTTTTGTTGTCCTTGAAAGATTTCTAGGCTGACATCTGTCACTTTTGCTCACAGTGTATGTACTGTTTTCTTTAAAAAAAAAAAAAAAATATTTGTATTGGAAAGGCAGATTTACAGAGAAAAGGAGAAACAAAGATCCTCCATTCACTTGTTTACTCCCTGAGTGGCTGCAACAGCTGGAGGAAGCCAGGAACCTTGTGGGTCTCTCATGCGGGTATAGTGTCCCAAGGCTCTGGGTCATCCTGTGCTACTTTTCCAGGCCGGAAGCAGGGAGCTAGATGTGAAGTGGAGCAGCCAAGGCACAAACCAACACTTCTGTGGTGTGCTGGCACTGCAAGGTGCAAGGTGGCGAGTTGAGCTATTGTGTCAGTCTCCCACCCCCTGCCCCAACTTTCTGTTTCTGTGTAATACTATATTCCATAGATAATACAAATAGGTATTTTGATAGGCCTCAATTCCTGTAGTTAAAATTTTTACTCATTTATTTTATTGTCACATATTTGAAAAGGAGGGGAGAGAGAGAGCGCACGCACCAAATGCCCAATACAGCTGGGACTGGAGCAGGCCAAAGGCAACTGAGATTGAGAGAGAGTGCCCGCAACAGCCACCCTGGAGCAAGTCAAAGCTAGGAGCCAGGAACTCTGTGCAGGCACTCACTGCTTGTGCCTTCACACATACTGCGTTCCAAGATGTGTAACAGCAGGAAGCTGGAATCAGAAGCAGAGACAAGACTCTAGTCAGGTTCAGGTACTCTGGTATGGGCTGCGGGCATCCCAGGTGATGGCTCAGCTGCTACACCAGTCTCCTGACCCCCCACAATTCTTTGTTAGCAGCTGCATGGTGCTTCCTTGCACAGTGCTGTATATTCATTTAATATACTATTGCTGGACATTTAAGTTAATTCCAGCATTTGCTATGATAACTACTGTAATTGCTAATGTGCTTATTCATGCATCTCTCCACTTATCTTCCAATAATACAGTAATATTAAGTAATCACTTTTTGGGTTTCCTTTTTCAACTTTTTAAATGAACTTTTTTTCTATTTTTCCTTCTTCTACTTTTATTTACAACTTTTTTTTTTCTTGCCACGTGATGTGTATATGACATTGTAGAAAATAGGAGTGTGTGTGTGTGTGTGTGTGTGTGTGTCTGGCATGTGCGTATGTTTATGTTCATGGGATGCTTTTCTTCAGCTTCTTGAATTAATACCTGATGATTGGACTCAAGAAGTCTGAAATCAGATTCTGCTTCAATTATGTGCAAAGTTCCTACTAATTAAAAGTCTTACCTCACTGTGAGTAGAAAGGGCTGTGTCAGTGCCACCTTACACCCTCAGGCTCTCAGACTCCGTGCCAGCTCCTCACTGCTGAGAAGAAGGTGAGAGCATCGCTCCCTCGTGTGCCTTCTTCAGCACATGCTGTTGACCAGTGGTAAAAATAGGTAACCTGACAATCAGAATCGCTGTCAGCAAGCAACCAAACAACTTTAAAAAATATATACTAAGTTGTTTCGAGGAGAGCCAGAATCCAAGACCATGACTGTTCAGCCAGAAGCAGCAATCAAAAACTGTGCCCTTGGATCTGGGCAGGTTCACCACTGCCACGGGGCACTGAGCAGCTTACACTGCCAGCAGTGTGAGACCTTGGAGTCAATTCCCTTGAACTTCGTATTGTTACATCTGCCACTCTTGAGGGGAGAAGAATTACATAGTAAGTCCTGTGTATGTGGTGCATAAGTAAAGCTGTATAATCTAATTTGTGTGTCCATTTACATTTTGTTAATGTCCTTAGGTCTTTTCTGATGGTATTATCTTTTGTTTTTGTTTTGGACACAACAAATGTACAAGAATATTCTTATTAAACTTAACCTCTATGTTTTGGAATCCCCACTCACTCCTTAGGATATTTGGCACATTAGCTGTGTGACAAGACTAAATAATAATGTTAACAACATGTGTATATTAACATAAGTAAACCTCAGTGTCTCTGAGTCTCGTCTCTGCTCCAGTGATGTCTTCCAGACACCATCGGTCGCGCGTATGTTTTGGAGATGGATCTCATCTGCTATGCTGTTTCTAGTAGTAAAAGTTCCATACACTGTTCAGAGACCCTCGAGTTGCCAAAAGGGAAGAATGACATTGATACTTTCCAAGGTTAAACATGTAGAAAGAATGAAGGAGTTGACTGGTAGTACTCCAAAGCTGTGTAGACATTCAGACTTTTGTATCTCTTGTAAACATCAGTTCCGTTCTTTATAAACATGTACCCTGAAATGGTTGCTTGGATTGCCGTTTGGCTGGCTGGCTTCCAGAAGCAGGTTTTGTAAGGTAGGGTCTCACTGTATGGAGAGTGCCATTAGGTGATTTCCATTCTTTTTCTGGTTTGTGTCCTGTAGCTGGCATAAGCTTGACCACAGATTGCCTTGAAGACAGTCACCTCACTTGCTACTGGGGGTGCAGTGTTCAGAAGTTATATGAAGCCTTGCAGAAGCACGTTTATTGCTTCAGAATAAGCACCCCGCAAGCATTAGAAGATGCTTTGTATAGCGAATATCTCTACCAAGAACAGTATTTGTATCCTTTTATCTGATACGTTCTTTAGCACGTTGGAATTAGATTTTATGTGGATACAATCCAATGTTGTTTATTGATCCTTTTTTGGTGTATTTTTGTTGTTTTGACCATCATGACAATTTACCTTTACATTAAGAAAAAGTATTAAAAAGGACAGCAAAGAAGAAATATATTGCCAGTTACCCAAAGATAACAACATTGAGGACTTCGGTGCAGTGCCCAGATCTCGCTATCCGTTGGTGGCACTGTTGACCTTGGCTGACAAGGACGACCGAGAGATCTATGATATCGTAAGTAATTGTAAATTCTGACAGCATTGCCTTTAAATGATTTGGGTGGTGAAATGTTTGAATCTCTGAAGATACATGTTTGGCCTGGACATATTTTTTTCTTGACAAATGAAAACAAAGGCTGTGTATCTAATTTTATTTGTACAATAGTACCTTATGACTCACAAAAATGTAACTATTTAGAAAATAAAGGAAACATTTTGATTGATTTATGATAATGTTATTAATTTTGTATCTATTATGTTTGCTCTATAGAAAAAAAAATCTGTTAGGAAGCATGTTTGGTCCTAATATTTTTAAAATAACCAGTGATCAAAAATGCTCAGTTTAAAACAATATCATTTTCTGCAGCCTTGTGGTAGTTGTGTTTCTGTCAGAGCCCCAACTATGCTTATGACACATACAATCTGGTACGTTTAGTTTCAGATATTATGAGAACTTTCTTTTCTCACTATATGCTTATTTTTTTCCTTAAGATTTATTTTATTTTTATTTAAACGGCAGTACAGAGAGAGAAGAGAAAGATAAAGGCTTTCCATCCATTGGTCTACTTCCCGAATGGCCAAGATGGCCAGAGCTGAGCCAATCTGAAGTTGAGAGCCAGGAGCCTCTTCCAGGTCTCCCCTATGGGTACAGGGTTCCAAGGATTGAGCCATCATTTGCTGCTTTCCCAGGCCATAAGAAGAGAGTTGATTTGGAAATGGAACAGCCAGGGCAGGAACCAGTGTTCATATGGGATGCTGGTGCCACAGAGTGGAAGATTAACTTGCTATACTAACACATCAGCCCTGCTAGTTATTTCTTTGATCTTGTAATTTATATGTATCAGGAAAATGCAAGATCAAAGAGGACTTGACTTTGGCAGTGCTTTAACATCTCTAAGCTGAAAACCCATCTGCAAAAGCTGAAATTCTGAGTCAACCTGACTGCGACAGGACAAGTCTCCTACTTCACAGGTCACAGTCATAGCTGAGGCACACTCAAGTGTAGTGTTATGCAATATTACCTGCAGGCCGTGTATGTGAAACATAAATGAGCTTCCTAATTACGCTGGTGGAGTCTCATCCTCAGGACATTGTGTGTGTGCAAAATATCCCAAAATCTGAAGAAAAAAAAAATGGAAACCTAGAAACATCTGTACTCCCAAGCATTTTGGATAAGGGATGTCCAACTTGTATGCAATATAACTGGATGAAATCCTATCATTGTAGGGCTCGGCGTCGTGGCCTAGCAGCTAAAGTCCTTGCCTTGAACATGCCAGGATCCCATATGAGCACTGGTTCTAATCCTGGCGGCCCTGCTTCCCATCCAGCTCCATGCTTGTGGCCTAGGAAGGCAGTCAGGGACAGCCCAGATCTTGGGACCCTGCACCCGCATGGGAGACCTGGAAGAGGTTCCTGGCTTCTGGCTTCTGATTGGCACAGCTCCAGCCATTGCGGCTGCTTTGGGAATGAATCATCGGACAGAAGATCTTCCCTCTATGTCTCTCCTCCTCTCTATATATCTGACTTTACAACAAAAATAAATAAATCTTAAAAATCCTATCATTATTAAAAAATGCCCATTTATAAACTATGTATTTTCTAAAGTGTTTAATACAGGTAAGTTCATTAATAAAAACATGGTAACATTTTTTTATAATACATTGTAATGTCCAAATTAGTTTACTAATTTTTACCTTCCAGCAGTTTACCATGTTAGAGAGAAACAGGGTCAAGAGTGTCTCAGTCATTCAGTAACAGAGAACTCAGCCTGGACCCCGAGCCTTGGGGCCCCTTGCTGCCAGCCCTTATTCTCATTCAACAGGAATACCTTCTTGAAGCATGTATACATTTTGCTTTGGAATGTGCAGGCTGTTACTGGGGAACGGAAATGCTGGTCGCTTATAGTTAAGCCTCCAGGGTGAAAGCTATGAATGGTGGTGGCAGAGAAGAGGAAATGAGCAGCTGTATGGTGTTAGATACATTGTGGATGTGTAGGATGACCAGTTCTCAAGGGCTAATGTGTGATATGAGATCTGTGGTTGGTAATGTTACGTTTGATTTTTGCTGAAAGACTAGCTGGTTTTGCCACATACACACACACAGTAACTGTATGAGAGGTGATGGGCAATATTAATTTGCTTCACTGTAGTTTTCATTTTACTCTGTGTTTATATATCAAAACATGTTGCCAGTCCTAAATGCATACAGTTTTTAAAAAAGATTTATTTATTTTTGTTGGAAAGTCAAATTTACAGAGGAGAGACAGAAAGATCTTCTATCTACTGGTTCGCTCCCCAAGTACTCGCAATGACCAGAGTTGAGCCAATTTGAAGCCGGGAGCCAGGAACTTCTTCTGGGTCTCCCGCACAGGTACAGGTCCAAGGCATTAGGCTGTCCTCCACTACTTTCCTAGGCCACTTTATAAAAGGGAGTTAGATGGGGAGTGGAGCAGCCAGGGTATGAACGAGTGCCCAGTTCATAATAAACATGTACAGTTCTTAAGAAGTCATGCAAACAGCACTGTATTTTTGGAACCTAGCCTGGAATACAGTGAGTGCTCAGTAAAGATGATAAGTGGGGAAAAGAAGTTGTATCAGGCCATGGCCGTGGCCCTCAGAGAGCTTCACAGCAGGACTCGTTCCACGTGCCTCCAGTGGTGTGTGTAAGAGAAACTTCTGGCTTCCCCCTTTTCTTCTTCCTTGCTTCTTCAGTGGATGACAAGTAGACCTGTTAATCTGGTGCTCTGTAGTCCCAGTTTCTTTAATCCTTGTCCTGTCTGCCCAGGTAGCCTCGTCTCACTACCAAGTCCTTCGAAGTTCCTTGGGTTCTGTTCCCATGGCATCCAAAGGTCAAACCTTTGAGTGTTTGAATCAGAGATTGAAGTCAGACCACGTGAGTGGCACACTCGTAACTATTTTAGTACATCACTGACTCCCAGAGGCTTCATTAGCCGAACACTGAAGCCCAGGAACCAAAGTCCCCCACCCCCCACATCACAACTGTGTGATGTGACCCATTCAGCATCCAAGATACTAGTCAAAATGCCTACCACCACCTTTTGGTTTTGTCTTTATTAAAATACTGAGTATATGTTTATCTCCCCGCCATTTCCACGTATGACCATTGCTATTGCTGTGTTCTGTCATAGCATTCAATACATACTTAAAATCAAACAAAAGGTAGGGTTTTCTCTTTAAATGCTGAACAGGCATTTTGGATAGCACATTCTTGGCAATGGAACCAGTTCTTGCATTCCCTTCCCTCACCAGCGGTGCTGTCCGCTGTGTGCTCACAGTCTTCTTTGTTGTCTGATTGCCTTGTTCCTGTTTAAACTGAAATTGTGTGTGTGTGTTACAATACATACAGCAAAAATGTTTACCCCTTTAACCATTTTTTGAGGGGAATGACACGGCACTGGCTGTCCCTGGTTGAGGAGCCAGCAGCATCTTCTCCTGTTCTCTGTCTCCTTCCTGGGTCCTTTGGTGTCTTTCTTACCTGGGACACTTTTCCTGTGACTCTCTCATCTCCTGTCTCTCAAATGGAAGCAGATATTAGCAGATATTTATGACTGTATTTTGTGCTAAGGTCCTCCTTGATTTGAAAAGCAAACTGAAAATTTTCCAGTTTTTTTTCATATGTGGTTTTTAGTATTGAAGTGGTAATCACTGACTATAAAGAAAAAATAATTATCTTACTCCTGTTATAACAGTATAGAATCAGTTTTAGGTAATATAGTTAGGAACCGTTTGTTGTTTCAGGTCGAAAGAGGAACGAAGGATTACTGTGTGAAATTTTTGTTTTAATGGAAGTGAGAGAATCCTTTACCCAGATCGCATTTTCATCATTTGCATTGTTTGTGCACACTCACACACACATTTATATAATTATATATTATCAAGGAATCATATCATATCATATATTTTAAATGAACAATTTGAGAATATTTCCTGATCGTAAAAATGTTCACTTAAATAACCACAGTATATTTACCATCTTTATGCATTTAACATTGATGCAATATTTTATCAAGCCTTTTGATTTGAGTAATATTGACATAATATTTTATTCAACCTATTTCCCATAAGATTTGGCCCCTGAATTCAAGCAAGAATTTAGCCCCCAGTGGATAATGGTAGTGGTATTAAGAAGGTAGAAACTTAGTCCAATGATAGTATGTTGTTACTGTCTATTTTATTGGGCAAAGTGCCATATGAAGTGTCCCATTGTGGTTTTTGTTTGTTTGTTTGTTTATTTGTTTCTCAAGTAAATCTTTTTTTTTAAAGATTTATTTTTATTATTTTTTATTGGAAAGGCGGATATACAGAGAGGAGAGACAGAGAGGAAGATCTTCCGTCTGATGATTCACTCCCCAAGTGAGCGCAATGGCTGGTGCTATGCTGATCCGAAGCCAGGATCCAGGAACTTCTTCTGGGTCTCCCACTCGGGTGTAGGGTCCCAAAGCTTTGGGCTGTCCTTGACTGCTCTCCCGGGCCACAGGCATGGAGCTGGATGGGAAACGGGGTGACTGGGATTAGAAACGGTGCCCATATGGGATCCCAGGCGTGCAAGGGGAGGACCTTAACCACTGCGCCACCGTGCCGGGCCCAAGTAAATCTCTTTTTAAACATGTATATAAAAGTTTTTATGAGTTTTTCAAAATTATTTTTCTAGAAACTTCTTGAGATTTTTTTTTATCTTCAAAATTTCAAAATTTGAGATTTGGGGCTTCAGGTATGTCTTGCAGGATTGTGTGCAAACTCAGTGGAGAGGTATACACTTGTTAAAAGGGAAGGCGGGCGGGGCTCTCTGAGCAGAGCAATTTCTGAGATGTTGTCAAGTGACATAAGGAAAGTACAGGTAATGTGGGAACGTTGGGGATGAATTGTTGAGGTTGGATTAGGGTATTGGGTGGTGTCCCTGAGAGTGAAATGTGGTTGCTTTGTTAGGAAAGGGAGAGATGAACGCAGATACAGTCATACTGGTGTGCTGTCTCTTGGCACGTGATCCTTGCATCAC